TTTAAGAGATGGGGCTGGATGTCCAAGGAGGTCAGAGAGGCAAAAACACAAGAGACAGACTACCAGAGGGGCACACCCAGAGTGAACACCAGTCACTCCCAAAGCCTGTCTTCAGGGTGGCTCTGCTCAGCACACACGGCTGGGAAGGAACCACATCCAAGCACTGAAGGAAGCCTTGTCTAGACCCACACAGAACAGCCAGGGTAGAAGACACTTTATTTCTGGGGCAGTGAGTAGTGTTCACTCAAGAATTTTCCCTCAGCAGTTGCGGGGGCTCGGGGGAGGGGGTAGTCCGAAACCAAATGTTTTGCTGATCTCCATATGGTTTAAAAACAGACTTGAAAAGATGCAACTATTTTCAAGTAACTTATCCTGTGTGTGTGTTGGGCGGGGGTGGTGGATGAAAATTGGCCCCGCAGGCTCATAGGAAGTGGCACTCTTAGGGGGTGTGGCCTTGTGGGAGGAAGTGTGCTACGGGGGGGGGGGGCACTTGAGGTTTCAGAAACTCAAGCCAGGCCTAGTGGCTCGGTGTGTCTTCCTGCCGCCTATGGTTCCAGAGGCAGAGCTCTCAGCTGCCTCTCCAGCAGTCTACCGGCAGGCCGCTGCGCTTCCAGCCGTGACAACGGACTAAAGCTCTGAACTGTGAGCCAGCAACAGCTAAATGTTTCCCTTTGTGCGAGCCGCGGTGGTCACGGTGTCTCTTCACAGCAGTAGAAGCCCTAACTGAGATGGGGGGTAGGGAGCTACAGTATTTATAGGAACAAAAAAAATTTTCCTGGACCCAAGTTAAAATTCACAATAAATTATTCACTAAAAAATTAGCCAGCATACAAAGTAGAACTGCTATTTTGCAATTTTTTAAAAAAATAATTTTCTTGAAATTTTACTGAAAATTAAATTGTCCGTAAGACATGAACAAAATCATCTTAATCCTTTTCACCTTGTACACTAATTTGAAGACTCCTGAAATACTAACATTTCTAAGGCAAGCAGCACTGTAATTAAAAGCACGAGCTTTAGAGACAAGAAAACTAGAGACTAAATTACTCCCAACTTCTCTCTAAAACCTTCGAAAAGCCACAGAGCAGCTCTCAGTTTCAGCAGATTCATCCATAAAATGGAAACAATATTTGCTTGTTAGGGCTGCTGTCATAACTGTCCCCAAGTAGAGCCAGGCATATGCTGTAAGCCTTTGATCCCAGCACTTGGGAAGCAGAGACAGGCAGAACTCTGTGAGTGCAAGGCCAATCTGGTCTATACACCAAATACACAGTGAGACCCTTTATCAAAAAAAGAAAAAAGTAGCCATGCTACTATTCAGCCAAACATTACCAAGGATTTATCACAAGGCGCAGAGCACAAAGGCACGGGTCATAAGGAAGATAAAGGTCCTCAAAGCATACTCTACAATGAACCCACGCTAAAAGCTCATCTCAAGTGCAACTTCATACTCCATTTCTTAATTTCTAAGCAGGACAATTACTTTAAGGTCTTCCTACAAAAATTAAAGGATCATTCTTTTTCTCTGGAAAAAAAAAATCTAAGAAGTTGTCAGGTTCAACCAATTAAGGCATGTCTGAGAAATATTTAAAAGCTGAAAAGCATGATAAAAATCTTAATTTAAAAGCAACCTCTAATTAACATCACCTTTCAAAATTCCCAAATTAACAGACTAAATTATATACAGACATAAAATGGACCAATCTGTTATGATAATTTCTGTCAGGAAGGCTGGGCCAATAGATATAAGGAACCAAAATCAAGTTCAAGTTTGTATTTCACTTGCTCATTCCACTTAGGTGATGACAGATAGCTTAAATATTAACCTTGTTGATAAAAGTTTGCCTACTAGTCATACCTCTGTAAATTCATTTTAATTGTACCCTTTACTCAAGGTCTTCCAAACCCATCCTCTCAAAGCACAGGCCCCTATGGCGACAGAATTTCATTTCCCATAACAATCTATTCCGATTAAGGAAGAATTTGCATTTTAACAAAATCCCTGCAGGACAACTATGCACACAGAAGCCGGAGTAGGACGGCTGTAAACTGCGGTGAGTTTGGGCTTTTATTTTGTTTTGTTTTTCACTGTTACAAGAAGTTTACTCCAAAGTGTGCGGCATGTAATAACAATTCGGAGAAGTAAGTAGAATCAGCAGTTTGACATTTTCTGTCCACAGTAATCTATGTTGACGTCACCTAACTTGACCCGACCTCTCAACAGGAATTTCTAGTCTGAGGAGTCTCATTGGTCACCTTTCTCTTGGATGGACAGTTCTATCAGCATGTGGCCACTGTGGTAAGCATCTCTGGGGCAAAACATCTACACATACAGAACCAAGAGAGCAGGTCTCTCCGTAATGGGGGGAGGTGAATTCCAAAAAAAAAAAATCAAAATGGGTTTATGCACATTTGAATTTGAAACATTCCATATGGAAAAAAGATACCTACCAGAATGACCTTGTTATAATAAATCTCTGTGTTTCACCTAACAGATAGTTTTATTATAGGTACAAGTGTTCTTTAAAAAAAATTCTCATGGGACTTGAAGAATACAGTATTATTATTACTGTCGTACACTAGTCACAGTGCCTATGAAACAGAACAAATCTCATTTCTCTTTCATTTAGAAGAAATGAATGACAGACCCAGGTTGACACAGACCACAGCAGGCAGGATGGCTGGGCACAGATTCAAAGCAAGGTACAAATGTCCAGTTTTAAAAGGCCCTGCAAACGCCAACCTCATCTCTTGTCACTACAGCCATGGTGTTATGGCAAACATTTGAAAAATGCTGAAAAGTGCTGCTCCTTATAAGCACTTATGAAGAGCTTTGCAAAGAGCAAATAAAAAATTGTAATAGTAGTTGACATCTTAAAATGTTCAAAATGCCCATGCGCTGGTTTGCAATATAAGAGCTCCCTGGCTGAATCTGAGCCAATGCAGCCAATATGGAGAAAAGGGTTGAAAGGGATTAAAGAACTGTTGGGGAAATTACCAAGGAGCCCACTGGAGCGTCCGTGGAGGTTAAACATGCCCTTGACACTCCTGGCCTGTATGAGATTCAATTGCAGACCTGTCCTCCTTGCACTCAACTCCTCCTCAGTCCATTTTGCATTTTTGGTCTCTATCGTCTTACAGGATACACAGTTCCACAAGAGCACAAGGTATTTAATGATTTTTTTTTAATGGACCTAAATATACTGATTTCAAGTTTTAGAGCACCCTTACTCTAACATCCCAGAATGCCATGAATAATTCACGATGCCCTATTTCCATTCACATTCCCAGCCAAGGCTCTCAAAACTGCACTAGCCTGTATTTATTCACCTATCAGTCACTTTTCAATCCACCTCTGTCTGCCTTCTGCACCCTTCACTCACTCCAACTCCTCTTCGCAATGACCATGAATAACTTCATCGTTTTCCTTTACTCGACAGCATCATTCAACAAAGTTAAGCAAGCACTCTGTCCCTCTTGAGAACTCTCTTCTGGCACTAGCAGACCTTCACTCTCCTAGGCACTTTGTAACCCTCTGGCCTTGTCAATCTGGGAGGTTCTGACACCTCTATCTCCACTAACCTCTTGACTGTATCACCTTCCTGATGCTGACTCACACCTTCACGACGTCTCCAGCCCAGGTCGGCCTTTTCAGTCCAGGAGAGTACACTCGGCTGAGTACAGCTGGCATTTCATCATGCACAGTAAACTGAAAACGCCCGAATCTGACACCTCAGATCTGTTTTTCCTCTTGCGCCTCCGGTTCTCCTGCCAGAACTCGAATCCCTTCACCCTCACCACTCACATTCAATCAATCCCCAAGCCCTTTCATTTCCATCCTCCAAATGATATGTCCCATTTCCCCATCTTTACTGTCACCGCCCCCTCAGGCCTGAGGTGTCATTATCTTTTGTCTTCCTGAATTCACTGACACAGTCCTCTAATTCCATCTACAAAGACGGAGTGATTTGTCAAAGAAGAAAATGATTAAAACCCTTCCTGTGGCTGCCCCTGTGGGCTTCTAAAATAATATTCACAAGACACCTGTCTTCCTTTCCAGACATCCTCACTGTCACTCCCTTGGCTCCCTAAGCACCAACCTTTTGGCATCTTTCTGTGTATTAGGCCTGCTAAGGTCTTCTCAGTTATGGAGACTTTCACATGTTAAACCTTCACTTCTCTTTTTTTATCTTACCCACAGCTATCCAAAAGCCCATAAACAACACAGTGTACATGTTCACTATGAAGTTAGATTGTTATTTTTATTCCTGTTTTGTCTCTGCCATACTTATTTGAATATAACATTAAGATATTATTTCTATTTTGTGATAAATAATGTTCAGAGAAACTAGCTTAACCAAAAACATGGAAATTCGGCTGGATTTTAGGGGCTGGCCATGTAGCTCAGTGGTAAAGTGCATGCTTAGCACACAGAGCCCATGGTCCAATCCCCGGCACCCAAATAAAAACAGCTAGAATCTAATTTTAGTTTTGTGTCGCCTGACTACCAAAAAGCATGACAATTTAGCTATGGATGACTTGATCCTTGCCACAATTGACATAGGTGTCTGGATAAATAATATGCCCTCAGTAAACAAGGTCTAGCGATACAACTCAGAGATGGGGCACTTAGATCCCCACAAGAAAGCAAACAGAACCATTCATGAGAGCACGAATCATTTATGCCGCGCTCCATGCTAAATCTCTAGCACTCTAACCTGTGTCTAGCACGCAATCCATGGTCGTTCAATGTTTATCTCACCCTTGCATAATTATTTTGAAAATGAAATGAGTTACAACTGTGCCTCTTGTCCTCTTATTCCTGAGTAAGCGACAACTTACTCAGACGCAAGTTTCCTAAGTTAGCGGTCACCCCCTCGGTCCTCACGGAGGCGTGAGGGTGGGACGCAAACCTCTGTGGCTGCTGGCCAGGTCCTCCCTCCTTCCCTCCCTCCCTGGCGATCTGGCAGCTAGTGGCCCTTCCCACTCTCAGGTCTCACCTTCCAAGTGGGCGAGGACCCTGCGGCAGCTTCCGGGCTAGGCTCAAGCGACTCCCCAGTGTCCAAGAGCATGAAGCGGCCATAGCGCTTCAGAGGCCACTGGGAGACCTCTCCTGGAAGGCCGAGGCCCGAGGCCACAGTCGCCGCCTCAGCCATGCCCGCCTCCTGTCCTGCCAGCCCGCCTCCGCGTGACACCTACGGCAACCGGCTAGCCAATCAGGAGGCGAGGTGGCTCAAGGCCACGCCCCAACCCCTCCTTCCTGCAAGAGGAAGTGGAGGATTCCACTACCGGAAGTGCGGTCTTTGCTGGGTTGGGGTTTTTCGTTGTTGGTTTTTTTGTTTGTTTGTTTGTTTGTTTGGTTTGGTTTTGGTGTTGTTTTGGTTTTGGTGTTGGACGTTGGATACCCAAGAGAGATTATATCGACTCTGCCTGGAAGTGAGGTGATTATGCTTACAATTTGGAAGATTTCAGCGCCAGCAGGGGAGCCTTCACCTTCCCTCAAAGCAGCCCATGTTGTTCTTAAGCACCGCGCCTTGACCTTGAGAGATTTCTCTGACTGACCTCCTCATAACCACCGAATCCTAGGACTAAGCTGGCTCTCTAGGGTGTCTCCAACCTCACAGCAGTCTTGCAGATAATGGCATCTCTTCACATCTTAACTCACATCTACCACAACGTAATGGGCCTTTCAGGAAACGTGGCTACTTTCACATCAACCTGGACATACTCCCTTCCTTTCTTCGCCAGAGAGAAGAGCAGATGGGTAGGGGGCGGCCAAGCAGCAAAAGGTGCGCCTCCACCAAACAGCAAGCAAATGACATTTCTGGGTGATTTATAGCCAGCAAGACATTTCCACATCTGTTAGTTCCTTTATCCTCCCAACAACCTTGTGGTGAGCTAAAGAAACACAATAGGGATTTCTGCCTGACCCCAGAACTGATGGTGGCAAAGTAAGATACGAAAAGCAGACATGATTTATCAATGGACACAGCCTGTGAACTGCGGAGCCAAAGCAGAACTGTGGACCCCACAGTCTCTGTCAAGTCAGAACAATGTATACGGAGAACGGAGGCTGAAGTTATTTTAATTGGGCTGTTTGTGCATTTATTTGTTTATTTGTTTGTTTGTTTCATGTTTTGAGGCAGGACCTTATTCTGTACCTTAAGCGCTCCTCAAACTTATGGTGGGTCTGCCTCAGCCTCCTGAGTGTTGGGATTATAGCCACGAGCCATCAAACCCAGGTCAAAGCAAACCATTTTCAAACTACATTAATGTTTAGAGAATGGTTGGGAAGGTAGTGATTTGTTCGCTACAAAGCATCAGCTATCTGCAGTGTGCAAAAAACTATGCTAGTCAGCAACTGGTTACAGACATGGTTACCCATTTCTTAAAATGCTCATCTAGCCTCAGGGACCTCAGGATCTAATAAGGAAGATGAAGCAAGGTGCAAACAAACTCATTTCTTTGGGTCACGTGCGCAGTGAACAGCAGAGCCACGGAGCAACTATGGGCTCCATGATGCCTCCGTGTGTCAACCCCACTCACCAAAAAAATGTAAGTGTAAGACTAGGCCAAGTCAGGAGCTTGATTGACAACTGACAGGTAACGCTGCGACATCTCAGAGTTTAGAGGAAGTCATAGGTCTACCAGCAGGGAGAGGCAATGGGATTTGACTTAGAGCACGAAGAGGACCGATACCGAGGTGGCAGTGGGGCTGCTAGGAAGTTAAGTCCTGTTGTAAGGACGAGAGGAGTTTGGGGCAAAAGAGCACAGTGGCAGGTGATGAGGGATGTGGACATTTTGCATAAGCAAGAGACACTACCTTAGCTGTGGTCCAGGCAGATAAACCTCTCAGAGGCAAATGAGAGAAATTGAATTAAAGACAAGGGGAAATTGTTACTCACCATTTTGTTCACTTAGTAAAGTTTACTGAAAGGGTCGAGTTTCAGAAACTGTTCCTGAAGGTCCTTAACACCTGGCAGTCCTGTGTTTAATGTGATAGTAAATGGTTAAAGCTTGAATCCCAGGGCTATGGCTTGCCAGCTGTGTGACCTTGGGGAAATCACTCAACCTCTATATAAAATACAGTCATTAAACAACTACCTTACAGGACCACGACAAGATTTACAAAGAGAAAAAGAAAAGCACAGGGGTAAAAGCACACTTGGTAAATTGTAAAGTGTGCACGTGTTGATCCTTTCCGTCTCCAGGGTTGAAGTGACTTTCCGTGGGCCTGCTAACAGGAAGGGGGGATGGGAACAGAAGCTTGACATTGGGTCTCAGGGGCACTCACCTTCCAGGTCCAGGGCGGCAGCTGCTGTCAGACACCCTTCACAGGAGCAGATGGTGCTCACAGTTGGGCCTGTCAGTGCCCAAGGACGCCCAGAATCCTGCTGAGCTCCCACCTGCAAGCTCCCTTCCTAGACAATACACCTGCAGCCAGCTTCTGGGCCGCTGGCATCTGCCAAGAGCAGATCATGCCTGCAGAGGAAGATAGATGAGAATGCCACAGCCTGGTGAATGGAAGCCTGCATAGACTTAGAGTATTCGTGGGAGTCGCTGGAACTCCCAGAGGCTTAGCACGTAGGAGGAGCTTAGATAGGTAGAGTAAGTCCCACCAGGCTTCTACCGTCTTCTACGGCTTGTGCTAGTAGGGGTCAGAACATTGAGCAAACCATCCCATCTTTTTGTTTGTTTGTTTATTGTGGGTTTTTTGTTTTTTTGACAGGGTTTCTCTGTTTATCCTTGGCTGTCCTGGACCATTGTATTTTCTTAACAGCCAAAGTATCTTCTTTTTTAAAGATACAAGTGATGTGTTTATTAAGGTACAGCATTATACAACAAAAAAAGCACAGATATTCAATGTTTAAATAAGTTTGTGTTTTGTGTTGTTTTTGTTTTTGAGATGGGGGTCTTACTGTATAGCCCAGCCTATCTTAGAACTATAGACCAGGTTAGCCTGAAACTCTCTCAGATCTGTCTGTCTTGGAACTGACTACTACTCCCTATGTAAACCAGGCTAGCCCAAAAACTCTCTCAGATCCACCTGTCTCTGCTCCCCGAGTCCTGGGATTAAAGATGTGCACTACCACATCCAGCCAATTAGGTGAGTTTTAACACACATGTAATTCCTGTAACTACCTCAAACAGGATATAAAACACCTCGTAAACTCCTAAATTCCGTTCTCTTCCCAGTTAATGCTTGCCTCATAAACAGCTGGTCTGGTCTCAGTTTTATCACTGCAGCTTATCTTTCCCCAACCAGGACTCCACATACTTGAAAGTGTACATCATGAGCCCATTGTATCTACTATTGTGTTTTTTTTTACCTCTGCCAAAAATGACCTTGAACTCCTAGTCCTACTGCCCTACGTAAGTGTGCCAACACACATATACACACATACATAGGCTCAGTGTTCATGTATCCACGCTCAAGTGGGTGCACACACACGAGCACACATGAATGCATATGCAAAAAAGAAAGTTTTACTTCTCAAGTAAGATAGGGGTAAGTGGCCAGCTCATCTCTGGGATGGTCGGTGTCCACACTAGAGAGTTTTGGCCCAGAGACACGAGGGTACAGGAGGGCATAAGAGGTAAGACACAGCGCATCTTGTACATTGTGGACAGGATGAGATTTTACTCTTACTTTTAGAAGATAATAAGTTATTGATTACGTCCCAGGAAATCTATTTGTCTCTTATCCTCCTCACTCCTCAGCTGGGATAACGCTGAGATTCATGTAATACCCTGTTTCCCAGCATTCCCTAGTGGGATTCAGCCTTAGTTGGTAACGATTCTTTTATATCTAACTCTCTTCTCCCTCCCTCTCAGTGTTTTCTGGGATCATCTCTCAAATAAATTATTTGTACTTGACTCCTTATCCCAGGATCTGCCTCTGAAACAAACGTAAAGGGCAATGAACAAGACCAAGAGAGCTTTGTGTCTACTTTTAATACAGTTGCAGACAAGCAGATAGTACAAGAGATGTTTGGGAAGAATCATCCTCAGATCTGAAGACCCTCCCATGCCTAAGTAACTCACTGTAGCCACAACGAATTTGTGACCTAAAGTACTGAATGACAGGTGACTATGAGCTAACACGTCACCCTGGCGCATGAACTCACGGTGTGTGTGTGTATGTGTGTGTGTGATATAAACAAAACCTGCTCTCCCTTAGACAGGTACCAGTGACAGACCAAAGTCTGAGTTGGTAAACCAACAATTTTCTTGTGCTTTCTTGCAGAGCGTGGGTGAGGGGCTACTTACAGAAACGGAGTGACCCCAAGACAGCCACACCACTGAGAAGGCTCACCCCACGATGGCCGACAGCTTCCCATGGCTGCAGTGATGGGGCCGTCTCTCCAGTTACCTTTCAATAGTCTCTGACCCTAGCATCCCCACACTCCCAGACCACAGGACCAAAGCTGGCTGGGAGGGGTGGGAGGGAGTGACTGGGATAACAGCTGAGGGTTTAACATCCCTTGCTGCTGCTCCTTATATGAAGAGGATCTCAATAATCTACCGGCTCCATTTCCAGAGCTGCCTCCAGAAGGTCACAGCTGCTCTGGTGAAGATAATGGCTAATTTGCTTTGGAGGCTAGCTCTCTACAGCACCCCACCCCCCAGACTGTTACCAGACAGAAAAGTTAAATCCCAGATATTGAAAAAAAATATTTCATTAAGTATCTCTTTAATTCTTTTTATATGTAACTATTTTGCAGGTGACATGTGACACAGTGAGGCACTTGAATTGTTAGGGTCACTGCCCAAAGTGTGCTGCAGAACTGATTGTGGAGGACTACGTATGTGGCTCGGTGGAGGGCTTGCCTAACATGCTCAAAGCCCTGGGTTGGATTCCCCAGCCCTGTAAAAACTTACTGGACATCATGGTGCATGCTGTAATTTCAGCACTCAGCATGGTGGAGGCTGCAGGGTCGGAAGTTCAAGGTTCTGTTTGATTGTGTAGTGAATTTGAGGCCAGCCTAGACCACAGAAGACCTTACTGAAGGAAGAAAGAAAAAGAAAAGGAAGGGAGGGAGGGAAGGAGAGAGAGAAAAAGAGAGAGAGAGAGCGAGAGAGAAAGAAAAAGAAAGAAGGAAAAGAAAGAAAAGAAAGAAAGAAAGAAAGAAAGAAAGAAAGAAAGAAAGAAAGA